TTTTTTTTTTTTTTTTTTCCAAAGTACGTTTTCAAACATTACAAAGACTTTAAGATATATATATTAAAAATAATGTTTAGTCACATCTCTCATTTACCTAATTCTGGGGGGTTCATGTCAATTTCGCAACCCTTAAATATAACAGCTACATCTTTCTTAGATCGGTGCGATGGAAGTAACTGACAAACAGGCAAACATCAAAGGACCGTTCGCGCTCTACTGTCATAATCTTTATTTAGTGTAACTAGCACAATTTCACCATTTTATGGGGGTTTATCGAAACTTTTTGTATTGGTAAAAATCAAAACGAAAAAAGAATAACATGATAAAATCCAAAGCATAAGAAATATAAAAATAAAATGTAACAGGCAAAGATAAAGGATTGAAGCAGAAAGAATATAGAACAATTAATTGTAGACTAACCGATTTTTTCTTTGTGTATTGAGAAATTTTCGAACTCATTAGCGTTTCAACACTTGGCTTCTGTTTATTCAACGAGAAGAAGAATAACTTCTGACATTCGTTGTATTAGCTACAATTTATGTGAAATTTAGGAAACGCAAGTTTTGAAACAACTTTCCATTGATTGTTTAAATATTATTCAGTAACTGTAAAACTGTTTTTCTTTTTTCGTTTTTAGCATTTATTACCAGCCCTTTAGAGCATCTGCTGTATATTGTATAGTATTTGTCAGTTTATCGAATATTCAAATATTTAGTTGTAACTTATCTTTCGTATTTATTCTTAAGTATAAAGTATTAAGCTATCCAAAGTAGCGACTATCGACAGAACCTAAAGGACCAAAACGTAGAATAATAGAAGATTCTGCCTTAACTTTTCTTACCTTTACTTTGTTGTGTGCCTGTTTGTGTATACATAAACTTTGTGGCGAATTTTAGTTATGGGCATAATAGTTTAAAATGCTATAATTATTTTCCCCTGACTTATAGGTATGGGCAAAACAAGATGAGATGCTTAAATCATTTGATTTGTGTCTAAGTTGCGAAAAAATTAAAACTGTGTTTGTTGTAAATTTGAATTAATTTAATTAATGACACCTGTGTAAAGTCAATTTTCCTGATAAAATATTTAATTAATTCTAAAGATCATTTATAGTTAATAAAAGAATAGTTCGTGAAATTTCTTATGTAGTTTCGCATTAATTAGAATTAGTGTAAGTTCAGTATAAAACCGCTTCTAATTAATTTTCTTACTTTTATGCATTGCTAAGTTATGGGTGACAAGACGGCGATACATGGTAAAATGTTATTAGTGTAGAAACTTGTAGATTAGGTGATTTAAGCAGGCCGGGCGAATCTCGGGGGCGCCAAAAGCCCTTCGAAAAATTTTCGATTCCATGAATACAATATTTAGGGCGTGCCTAAAAAGTGCCCAGTAGTGCCCACTAATTTTGGTTCTTTAAATCATATTTTTACATATGTTGCATATATATACATGCCATTTTATTGGTAGTATAGGTGAAGTGTTGTGAAAATGTTGAGAATATGGCATGTGAAGTCAACGAAGAGAAAAAAAAATCGAATAAATAAGATGAAAAATGTAGGAAATGCACAGGGCGACAAATACTTATTCCGCCTGGGGCGCCATTTTGGCTTAAGCCGACTCTGGATTTAAGTGTAATATTTTAATTCATTACAAAAGAAAGTGATAATCAACTTAACTTCTTCAACGTTCAAAAATAAAAATATAATAAGAAGAAATGGGTTAGTTATAAAAATGGAATATGATGTCTGCGAACTTACAACCTTAGAAACCAGGTTTCGATGCTCGTAGTGGGCAGAGCACAGATAGCCCATTGTGTAGCTTTGTGCTTAACTTCAAAGAAACAAAACAAATCTCCCGTCTTTTCAAAAGTGAATGTTGAGCTTTGCCTGCGTGCGCAGCTTTTCAAACAGGAGACAGACGAACGCTCGGACAGACACCACGGTTCGCAATATAAACAAGTGAAAAAATAAAGATAGATAAATGTTTTCCTTGCAAAAGTAAAATGATGTATGCATGTGTATGTATTGAGATTATTGGAGAATCAGATAGGAAGGACCGACTTTAAAATGCTATGAAAACTGAATAGTTACATACCATGTGTATGATATGAATATATGTTACCTATTTTAATGTGTTTATTTCATTAAAAGTATCCATTATTAAATTAATCATCCCTAAAGAAGATAATTTTATTTTGTAGTGTTTTGTTATATAAACTGTCATTAATTCCGATACTTTTAATTTAATGTTGTCAAACGAAGCATGTTTATAATTTCTTGAATTTGATTTACAACTAGCATTTTCTATTTGGTAGGGAGCGGGCCCATCCAGTTATGGCAGTTCTTGTTGGAACTTTTAACCGACAAAACTTGCCAAGGATTCATCAGTTGGACAGGTGACGGTTGGGAGTTCAAACTAACAGATCCCGATGAAGTGGCCCGACGTTGGGGCATTCGGAAAAACAAACTTAAGATGAACTATGAGAAGCTCAGTCGCGGGCTGAGATATTATTACGACAAAAATATTATCCACAAGACTGCTGGAAAACGTTACGTGTACCGTTTCGTGTGTGATCTCCAATCTCTCTTGGGTTACACTCCCGAAGAGCTGTACGCCATGGTTGATTTCAAGCCCGAGAAGAAGGATGACGAATAGAGTCAATAGTGATCTGGTCCACTAATGTTAGACATTACCTTTCTTGTAACTGACAAGCAGCGTTTCTCCCATGTATTGGTTGAAAAGGAGTGAAAAAGTTGTTCTGCCTTACTGGTTTCTCCTGGACATTATATGACAAAATGAGATACAATCAAGTATTTCTTTCGTGTTTAGAAAGATAAAAAGTTTTTTCTTACACTATTGGAAATCACATTTAATTTAGCTCTGTAGTACTAGCAGAAATCGGTCTCAGTTGCATGTCCATCCGACTTTTAGAGTCATGCAGTTTATTCTGGTATAACTGCTAAGGGAGAAATCATTGTATATATGGATATTGCCTGACGGCTGTGTTGTCAGGAATGTTTCATAAGATCTCTGTTTTTTTCTTTATATATTACAGTTATTGTATTTTATTATTAAAGTGCGCTTTGTGGAAATTGTTAGAATAATAGATTTTTAAAGGTTTACAAATAGTAGTATTATAAAACATTCAGTATTTTTGCACACTTGATAGCCTATTTAACTGTTTTATGTGGTAAGATATAAGTTTAGAACAAACACAAAAAATACTTTCTACCTGATATTTTCCTAAAGTGCCTTACACATTAGATGTCACAAGTTTCATCTTACACATATTATTTTACCAACTTTGAAACTACATTGTAATGTGAAGTTTGGAATATAGAATTCTTTAACACAGATTTTCAAAAGCTCAAAGTGACTTAAACGTTGTCGTCATATTTTTTAAAGAAGCGACAGCACTTTGGTCTGTTATAAAACATGTTATAAAAGAATAAAAACCACAACTGATATAGCACATTTGTCCATTCTCAACTCTAATCTCTTGTTATGCTGTAATGTTAAACACACATTCGCCGAAAATATTTTTTTTAGCTCAACGTTGATGTCTTAAATTACGATATCATTGAGGAAGGTTAAAAAGCTTCAAGTATTGTTTCTTTTTTAAAAGTTTAAAGATGTTTCCTGCAAATATTTGAAAACTTGTTAAATTTACTATATGTTTTGATGAAGTTTTTAAGACTATGAACTTAAAAATTCTAACTTTTATAGAAAACAGTCGAAATATTTTGTTTAAACAGATCAATAGGTCTAGAAAATCGACGAAAGCTTAGCTGTTTCAATCTTTCAAAAATGAGAAATACTGCTTATTTTTTTATATGTTTATGAACATTGTGTCTTTTATGGTAAACTAAAACTTTTTGTCTATACATATTACTTGCGTGTGAGTTTCTCCATGACAGCAAAGAATATATGAATGATTAGTGCGATAAGATATAAAAATATTTAATTAACATATGATCCGTTATAAACTGTCATGTTTCAAAACGTTACTTTCGATTTAAAATAGCAGGAATTTGTATTTAATATATCAATAGTGTAAAAATTGTAATTTCTCTTGTTAGAATTTATGATGTTTAGTTCAATTACAATTAGCATTGTCAATTACGTATTCAATATATATATATATATATAATAAATTCTTATTCTTGCTAGGCCTTCAATGACGTTTGTATGTGTATGTGTGTGTTTATTTGACGACAGCGCTGCTCTCTCGTGGCGAAGTAGATAGACACTGTTCAAGGACGAAGCACAGCAGATTGTTTGTAATTATTTTCTTTTTTTTTATATTTATCTGCTTCCAGTTTAGCAATGGTCACATAATTTAGCCGGTTGTGTAGTTGTACCTTAAATACATGTGATAGTACTTTTAATTTTCATAATTAAGTTTAACCTGTAAAAATACCTTTGATTGTAAGTTTTGGTGATACCAATATCTTGGAAGTGGATATCTTATTTAGAATAGACTTCATGTATAATCGTTCTTATGATAATAACCTTTTATAATCCCAGCCAAAAATGAATAATTCGCCATTATCTTAACTTTGAGTTGTAAAGAATCATAAAGGTATGTTGTGATGAAGTTTCTTAAAATTAATTTTCTTAGTCCGTTAACTATGCTTTCGTTTCATGAAACTTATATACAGCAGAAAAAATAAAGGTATTTTACAGACTATAAATTTCCTTGAAAATAAGTGGTATCTGCTGTCAACTCTGACTTATTATAAACCTTTCCTTCTTCTTGTTATGTATTTTTGGAAATCTTTCGTGAAAACAAGGGACTGTGTTTAGTGTCTGGATTTTAAATGATGACCCTGGTGACAAGAATAGCCTTCTGTCACCCGTTATGTTTTATATACTCCTATGAGCACAAAATGGATGTAGGACTAGCCATATCAGATTTTACAATAGAGTAGCAAATTCATGAAATTACACATTATTTCTTCATGTGACGAGCTACCCTTACCAACAATGTTAATCATCCATCTATAACTTTCACGAATCTTGAATTTTGATTATTCAACATGTGTAAAGCATATAATAAATAAAAATATGTTTGATTTCATTGCGCTATCGTGTTAATTATCAGAATATTAAGATTTACATTTTAAATTGAGGAAAATGTGGTTCAGGCTGTTCTGTAAAATAATTTAAGGAAACATCAATCAACACATTAGTATCAACTCGTATGTTTATCACGAATCTGTTATTGCCGTTATTAAGTTTATATATGACCAGATTTTATTCAAATAATTTACCTCAAATTGAATAATCAACTTTAAGGATACCAATATTCACAGACAAAGTTGCTCTGAAACATGTAACAAAAATTTACATTTTGAAGTTTTACAAAAAATTGGTGGTAGAATTTAATGTCAAATAAATCCCTCACAAAATATGTTCACGAGCAAAAGCATATAATGTGGTATTGTAATAAAGAAACTTGCAATAATCCAATTCCATGAAACAAGAAAGCCTATAATTCTTTGTTATATATGAAATTAGGTTAGGCCTATTTCACTTCTTTTCAAATTGTGAGCTTATTCCAACTTTAATATACAACACCAGAACTAGTTCTATAGTTTCCAGTGGCCTTTATTCATTTACAGTACCAGTGACCCTAAACTTAATTTTAAAAACTCATGATTTTTAATTCCTCCTTAACGTTTTACAAATAGCTCTAAAATTAAAGTTCTCTGTTTCTGGTCATCTTTGACCTGATATAACTACTGGTCACTTCATGGATGGAATGAGCAGATATCATTTAGATATACTAAAATTTCAGAAAATCACCAGATGTAAAAATTAAGATATCACCAGCATCTCCATTTCGAAAAAAAAATATATATATAACAACAAAATACTAATGTTTTAGAACTTTTTATAAAAATATCTGTAGTGTGCCACAATTTATCATATCAAAAGAAAGAAGGATTAAGGAAAGCATGACATTCATCATCTAATTGAAACCTTTATTTCACAAAAGTGTGTGTTTGCTTATAATAACTGGCGAACCGCTAAACCCATTTTCACCAAACCTAACTTGTGCTTTCACGCCCTACATGGAGTGACTTAGGGAGTCGGATCAGTACGCCACTCTCCAGATCCATATGTCTACTTATAACTGGCAAGCCGATGGAGTGATTGTCACCAAAACTGGCACGTATCTTTAGGAACTACACTAAGGAGTGACATAGTCGGTCGTTGTTTGGGCTACAGGGCAAACGAGACACCAGGTCATCCTACACAGAAACTAAAAAATTCATAATGTATAGTTTTTAGACTTAACATAATATAATAATTATGTATCACATTTACATGAATAAATAGGGAACTTGTAAAGTTACCACTACAGAGTGCATGGTAAATGAAATGATTTTCATTCATTCCGTGTATCAGGAAAATCGTAATTTAAAAATCATTTTTATCACATAAGTAGTCTCCTGGTCGGTCAGCGGTAAGTTTATGGACTTGTAATTCTAAAATCCAGGGCTAGATTTCCCCACGGTAGACAGAGTGTGTATATAAATATACTGCCATTCTATGTATTCGTTTAACTATAATTTTTTTCTAATGTTGTTGTTTTTTAAATTGCCATAAACAGTATAGATTGGGATTGACATTTTTACAACTAACACCAATTGACAACATTTATTAACACATGAATTTACATATACAAGACATCCTATTTCTAACGTTTCTACTTGTTTGGTAAATTAAAAAATATATATATTAATTTCATCTTCTTGAAATGTTCTGATTCGATGTATTATAGAAATAATTAAGAACTTTCGTGTATTTAGACTAAGCCCAAATATCATACACCAATAATGCTTCGCTTTTTCTATTTTCTTTAATTAGATAAAATAAAATATGTATTATTTGATGACTGCTCTGTGTTCCCATGTGTATGTCAGGTAAACAACCTGAGAAGGTTAATTATCAAGTTACTATGGCTAACAAGCAACATAAAATTGACAAAAACTAGGAAAGCTTTATCAAAATACAACTCTCAGCACCATTTGAGTTGTGCATAGTGTCGAGCGTGGCCCAGTGGAGCTGATTTATTTCATTTGTTGCTTTTCGCCCAGAATTTACTACTCGAGGACTATCAGCACCAACCGTCCCTAGTTTTGAAGTGATAGACTAGAAGGAAGATAGCTAGTCAATAGCACCCATCGACAACTAGTGGGTTACTCTAATCGATTTGACCGTCTCTCTTATACTGCACTCGCAGCCACAAATTGCAACGCGATTTCTTTGGTGGTGGAAGGTGGAGAACCTCTGAACTTTGGATCCACTTAGCACACTAAACACTGGGCCGCGCTCAGCTAGTTAAACCAAAACTGAAGTTCAAGCTTTACCAATACTTTATACACTGTGAAATGGTTATAGACATAATAGTTCATATTAAAAATATTCAATATGTTCATGTTAACATTTAAAACATGCTATTAATTCGCATAATTGATCCATACTTTGACTAGAATATTTGCTTTGCCTTTATTTGTCTTTTATACCATAATTATCGTTCGGTATTGAATACCGATAATTGTTATGTGTTGCAAATCTCAACAAACTAAACAAAAAACAATATTTCTTTACTGTTTTTGTCATGAACACTTGGAAATGATTCTGCTTTATAGTTCTAAAATAAAAGTGAAGCCCTCGGGGTTTATTGGCGAGCTTGAAGGCTTATAACACTAAATGTTAGGTTCGATCCTTGTAGTTGTGGTTGACACGGTACATATAACCCGTTCTGCAGCTTTGCGCCTAATTATAAAGAAATAATTGAATTAAAATGCATAAAGCCCAGATGGCTAGGTGCTTAAACATTTCAGGGCTCGGGCCCATTTTCGATGTTTCGATCATGGTTTTCTATTCTGATTTTTCAAGACACCTACCAGGGTTTCGGGCACTATCAAATAGAATTAGAACACGGGTCCCGTGTGTCAGCGCCTAGTGACACCTCTGATAAATCCTGTAAATATAGATGTTAATTACTATTATAATCTGTTCAATAGACTTTGCAAGTATGTAAAGAATTTGAATTAGCTGATGTTGATATTGTTTTGTAAGTCTTGAAAGGATTATCAATAGAGAAAATTAACATTCTCTAAACGTCTTCGCGAACTGTGTGAGTATTTGTAGGGTTATTTAATCATCTAACTTTAAATCAAAAAATAATTTAATAAATTTATTATATTTTACGAAGACTTTCACCTCCCCAGTGGCTCAGTTGTAAATCTGAAAGCTTATAACGCTAAAAAATCGTTTTTACCTTCTTAATTTAATATAGAATTTTTCAAAATTTCTCAGTTATTCAGGCGTATGTGAGATTTTCACATAACATACGGTCGAAAAAGTTGTCAAGTTGCTTTCACTCTGTGTTGTTCCCTGGAGTTAACACCCGGTCTTCCAGTTGGGAAGGTGGTTGTGAAGTTGTAATTGATATAGAAAAAACAGCAGTTTCTTCCAATGGTAGGTCAGGAGATTGTTTGTTTTTGTTAAACTTTACACAAAGCTACTCGAGGGCTATCTGTGTTATATATCCTCCCTAATGTATAAATATAGCTTGTCAACACCACCCATCGCCAACTCCTAGGTTACTCTTTATCAACGAAAAGTAGGATTGGCCGTCACATTATGATGTTCAATTGGCTAAAATAGCGAATATATTTGGTGATGGGATTCGAAAGCGTAATCTTCAGGTTGCGATTCGAGAACTCTAATCACCGTGCTATGCCAAACAGGTCAGGAGATAACTCAAAGTTACATCTTCACTTATTTTCTTATGGGAATGACCAGCCACAAGGATAGCGCTAGTTACTCTAGGTTTAATTAAGTAGCATGAGGTTTAGTCAGTCTGGAACAAGAATGTTAACCAAAAATGTCTGAAGAAAAAGTAGTCTAGAGCCAATAAAAGTGACCACTTGTTGTACCAAGCAATTGTACATACTGTGTTTGTGTTTGAATAAAGATTTTAATTGTATTTTTATAAAACTGTGTCCAATCTCTTTATTTTTTCCCACTAATTCATTTATTAAAAGAACACAGCATTACTGCTTAATAAGGATCTTGGTCGAATTTCCTGTTATTCTGCAGATCTATCGTGTCGTTTTAACGAAAATCAATTCGACCTGAAAACACCATAGAGTGAATAAGAAGGGGGAAAAGTTTGGTGCCATGACCATAGGATTTTTTTTACTCGTGACATGTGTATTTCTCCTGACTTCAATTTTGGGGTTGTTAAGCTTAAAAGAGACTTCATTTTTTAGAAAATGGCATTACCCTCAACCTGAAAGACTTACGATCAGGAGGGAGAGTTAGCAACGGAAGGGAGACAGTTATTGACAGAGTTGTTGGATCTAGGAGAAGTCTTTTCTTGGATGTTGTAATTTTGCCGATGATGCAAACGTCCGTGACTTTTCTTTTATTCAAGTGTTCAATGGCGTCTAGAGCTATATCATATAAATTTAGAACCAAGCATTGTACAGCTGGTTTTGGAGGCCAGCCATTCCAGGTGGTTACTCACCTGGAAAACTTCAGAATTTTTATTGTATCTGTTTGATGTTAAGCACAAAGCAACACAATGGGCTATCTGTGCTCTGCCTACAACAGGTATCGAAATCCGGTTTCCAGCGTTGTAAGTACTCAGACATGCCGCTGTGCAACTGGGGGCAGAACTTCAGAAAACAGCCCAAATTATTCTTTGCTGTACTCTTGAATGTTGGAGATATGATTTGTTTCGCCTCACTCATGAAGAACAATGATCGTGGCTAGACGCTTTTGTTCACGAACTTTCAGCCTTTAACTGACCGAGATACCCTTGATATTGTTGTATGTTGTATGTACTCTTTTGGCCCCCTGACACTCTAACAAATGGTAGGCCCCTTCTCTAAGGTGATAAGATGATGAGGTGTGATTGGTAGCTCATCCATTAGCTCTCTTTGACCCGATGCTCTCTATAATCCATGCTATCTCAGTAGTATACCTCTGGACTCATAGAGGCTCACTACCGCCCAATGGTAAATTCATGTTTCTATTTGGTGCCTATCCTCTCAGCTTCTGGTGATATAGCCCATGTTGGCAGACATTGTACAACCAATAGCACCTCCAGTCTCTGGCTGGTGTAAGTCTGGGAGTATTATACAGGCCGCTGTCTTTGGTGCTCAGGCTTTTCAGATATCACACCACTATGACAATCTTCAGTCATCCGTGTTTCCCTCACACAGAGATCAATCCACAGAGAAGGAGCATGACCAGCCATTCTGAGTACATTAGACATTGGCAGATCTTCCTCCTTAATTATTGGCTGTAACAAGATAGAAGTCATAGACCTTCTCAGCATCAGTAAAGTCCTACATCCAGAAGAAGACTTCTTCTAGATGCAACAACTCTCTCGAACAACCATCACTCCTTGATGACAAACTGTCTCTCTTGGTCATACGTCCTTCTAGCTGTAGAAATGTTATTTTCCTTTATCAAAGAAACATTTTTAAACTTAATGAGCAAGAATTCGAACACTGAGCAGTATAATTTTCAACAGAATGAGCAAACTCTGCAATACAATATTTTGTAGATTCTACATCAAATTTTTCTCTTTCCTACTCAATCTGTGGTATATCCATGTGAAACCAGATTAATTTTAAAGCAATGGGATAGGTCCACTTAATAACAGAAGATTTAGTCAAGATACCAGTTACGAAGTAATGCTATATTTCTGAGTAACTGAGTCATGAAAATGAATGAAATAAAGAGACTGAGCAAAATCTGAAACACAAAATGAACAATCTTTATTATGAAAATTGCAAACTATCAACACAGTGTTTGTACTTGCTTTGACTTCCATGGGACAATTGCTTCTATTGGATCTTCTATATTCAACTACTTAATCTGAATCCATGTGCCAGAATAATTTGGTTGACATTTTTTACCAGACTTATTAAATCCCGTGTTCCTTAGCTAAAAACAACAACACTATATTTACCCAGAGTGACAAAAGCCACCTATGTAACTAATCTATCGCATTCAAAAATATTTGCGGCTGTAACCTTGAGATATCACCTGAACTACCATTGAAGGACACTATTCTCGAAGTTCTTTCACAGTTTGCAGTAATTTCTGTCATAGGCAGAACAAGTATTATCTACATGAGAATAACAAAGGAAAAAAGGCAACTAGAACGACATAAACTTAATTACTTTCTCAAGCATGTGTTCTGTGAAACTTTGCAGTTATACAGAATAAATGCTACAATAATACAAGAAGATAGAAACGTATGGTATATTCATATAATACATAGGCATACCATGCACATTGTATGTTCTTATTTTAATATATAATTTTTCTAAATTTGCCAGTTATTCAGTTGAATGTGTGTTTTCCACACATGTGGTCAGGAATGTCATAAACTTACTTTTGCTCTAGTTACCTATTGTTTTATGTCATCCCCTGGAGATAACATTTGGTCCCCCAGGGATTAAGTGGCTGTAAAATTGTACTTGATTTATGAAAGTGGACAGCAGTTTCCACCAATTGTAGGTCGAGGTTACAACCATCCTTATTTTGTAATAGAAATGACCAGTCACTAAGCAATATGAGTTTTAGTCAGTCTGTCGTATCAAGCAAATATACAGTGTCTATGTATTTGAAAAAGGATTGTTATTTGTATTTTTGTACAGTTTTGTCCACTCTATTTATTTATTTATTTCTCCCCACGCGAACTCAGACATTCAGAGAGCTCAGCATTATTCATAATACATACAATACCTTGGTCGATTCTTCTGTTATTCTGTCTATATCGCCACTCTAAGTGAAATTAGTTCAATCTTAAAATACCACAATATCACCAATTAACGGCTTAACATAACGTTAGACAATAAACAATTTTCTACTGGAGGACACTCAAGCGTTTGGGGGTAATTTGATGGTGCTGATTTCAAAAATCTAGTTAGAAGATGTCCACTACCTCTAGATTTTTAGTTTTTGTTATATCTCAATATTTTATCAGCCCTATTTGAAATACCACGCAATCAACATAGCATAATAGGTTTATGCTGTAAAATTATGCTCACTTGGACCGATTTATGGGTAAGAGGCATACATTTTTGATAATTCAAACACTGACTGTATTGGTGTAAAATTCTAAATATATTGTTCATATATGCTACTTATTCTTGATATAATTTTAAGTGAATTGCACCACTTTTGCTTCATTCCAACACTCATATACTACGCCTGGGAATCACGAAACTTTCACGTGTTCAGTTTTAAAGAACATTCGACCGAGCATAAAAGGAGCAAAGTCAGACGCCTACCTCTCAGTTGCCTTTCACTCACTCAGTTGGTTACTTCTCCTCGCTCTGCGCACAGTCAAAACAAAGTCCGATCTTCTTCCTCGCATCATGCCCGCGACATAATTAAATGCTACAAAACTTTGTTTTTAAAATCTTTTAAACTCTACTTCTGTAAATAAATTATTCTATATTTTTTTTTTAGAAAATCGTTTGAAATGCTGGTTGCTTCCAGTTCAAGTAAAGTTCGAAAATACAAGAATCACCTAAACAGTTTCTGCTACATTTGTGGAAAATACATTACAATTTCATTAAGTAAAAACATTACACACTAGGTAAAGGTAACTTACTACCAATATTATGGGTGTAAAATTTGTTACCAAGAAAAAAATTGGGTTCCACATGTGTGCTGTACAGTTTGCACATCCAGCTGGAAACAGTGGCTGAATAAGAAGAGAAGAGAGCAAATATGTCATTTGCAATTCCAATGATATGGCGTGAGCCCAAAGGTCATCTAATTGACTGTTACTTTTGCATGACTAATGTTTCTGGATAGTCGGGCAAAACTAAACAATACATTAACTATCTAGATATTGCGTCTGCAATGAAACCAGTACCTCACGAGAGAATTGGGAAACAGAAGAGTTATTATGCAAAGAAGACAATGAATCATCTTCATCTTCTTCATTTAGTAATTCTATTCATGTGGCATCTCAACATAAACTGCCTCATCTAATCACATAAGAAGAGCTAAATGACCTGATTCGTGACTTGTCTCTATCGAAGCAACATGGGGAACTTAATAGCTCTCGTTTACAGCAATGGAATTTATTAACTCCAGGAAAAATAATTTCAATTTACCGAAGTCGCCATCAAAGTATTGCTTCTCACTACAGCATACAAGATACTTTGTGTTTCTGTACACATGTTGATGCACTAATGGAAGAATTAGGTACTTACTATCATCCTCAAAAATTTGGACTTTTTTATTGACTCATCTAAAGTTAGTGTGAAAGCTATACTTTTGCTTAATGAGAACACCAAGCCATCAAGACTTGTTGTTCATGCTATGAACATGAAAGAAACTTATCAAAGTATGCAGATTATACATTCTTAAATGTAATTTTCAATGAATAAGTAAATTTATTTAAAAAAGTTGTTATTTTTCTAGCAGCAGAGAAAAGGAATTTGTTGGCCAGTGTAATAGAAGTATCTTAACCCTCAATTAACTTACCGACTTGTTTCGATACCGCTAACAACCAACGGGATCCACATGTTACATCATATTGAGGAATTTTATGCTGTTGTTTTTTATTATTACAACACCCATTTTGGATGTTAAATATATAAAGACTCGAACATCAATTAGTGGAATTAAATGATGATGTTTTTTAGATTATATGTTTTGCGTGATTCATGTGTTATTAAAGATTGACTTCTATAAAGACATGGAGTCACAAGTTTAAAAGCTTATGGATCCTAGACCCTTATCGGGAATTAAAGTGTTAAGCTCTGGTCTAATCAGAATTAACCTAGAAAAAATGCAGAGTAACTAAGAACTTCGTTGTTAAAAGCAAACAAACAAACCAAAAATAATACACTACCTATTACCCTAGAAAACATAACCGTTTTTATTTAAGCCTCCGTTTCGCTATTACGGCTTCATTGTAGCAAACAAGACACTTGCTCATTTATTTTATTTCTAGGCTTTGTTAGCATTCAAAACAATCTTGATGTTCAGCGTAATTTGAATATAATATATGCTATAGTTGATTTATAAAATTGAGTATAATTACTTGCCTCTTCATATAACCTTTAAAGTTGTCTTACAACTATTTCTTCGTTTCAAATATGAAAATATGAATTGCACACTCTAGAAATTTTATGATGAAGCAGAAGTTTAATTTAATTTAATTTATTATATTTACGTATACATATATACGAGTTTTGGGCAATATTAAAGAGTACGGTAGTTTACAGTTATACTTAACGTTATAAGAGTGTAGGCTTAATTATTATTTGTTTCTGTAAACTAAAGTGTAGTTAGTGTAAATAAAATATTGTAATTAAGCAATAGCTTTTTAAACCTTGACATTTAAAATTGAAAACACAGTGGTGTAAAATGCCACCAATTCAAATTAAACATATCGTTTCTTTCAGCAGTGAAGATAAGGTAAAGATAGGCCTACGTTATAAAATATAAGTTATACATACCTAGTCACAACGGTATTAGTTCGTAGTACTAGAAGTAGGCCTTAACGTTACTCTTACTCTAACTTGTAACTGTAACACTCGTTGAACAGCTTTTTTTTTCCTTTTAACATTTTTCGTACTAAAATTAAAAGTGAACAACTTACTGTTGCTAGTAAGCTAGTAACAGTAATATAATGTATTGGTATGGATATTCACTGTTGTGCTATTTCTTTAGCTTTACTTTTACTCTTTCAGTACTTAGGGAGGAGTTGAAATAATCTCAGGTTAATATAATTATTAATAAAAACCATGCGCTCTCTCTAATGGAGTGGGTGCACAGGAAAGTGGCCTCACAGTTAATCAGATTCCTCTAAAAGTAGGAGGGGGGGAAACAACAGTTATATTCTCAAACTTAATTCATTTCTGAAGATATATATTATAATTATAGCAATGATTGTGGCTGTATCTGAATGATAACATTAGGACAGTGTTACATGTAGTCGAAATATAAGAAAAATACAGCATCATGTGTCATAAGGCTAGAAAATGTACAATATTGCATGCTACTTTTCAAGAGAGTAAAAGTAAAAACATTGTTCTTCTAGATTTATAGTTACCACCAATTTGTTTTAAAAAGTAGAGGAACATGTGGTAGAAATTTGAAAGAAATATATTTAGTATGATTAAAGTTTTCTCAGGCATTTGGCAAATTTAATTTAAATGTCTGTCAGATATTCATGAATAGGTAAATATTTGATGCTTGGGTGAGGAAACCACTTTCTGTATACCTAGTATAGGCTGCATTTAGTAACATTTCATTAAGAAATATTAATTTACAAAGAAAGGTGTCTATAGATTACTAAAAAATTATTTACAAAGAAGTGTGTCAATAGATTACTAAAAAATTATTTACAAAGAAGTGTGTCTATAGATTACTAAAAAATTATTTACAAAGAAGTGTATCTATAGATTACTAGAAAAAATATTAATTTACAAAGAAGTGTGTCTATAGATTACTCTTTTCAAACAACCATCATCCAATACTTTACCAGTAAATTTTGTTTCGAGATTATAATATCAATTAGTATACCACCTGTCAATTTTATTATTTCTGATGCATTGTCTTGTGTTACTACTTAAGCTGGGATTTCAGGAAATTGTTAGTTGTGAGATAAGATGTGCAATGTTAGAACTTCATGAGATAAGAGGGACTGTGTTGCAGTGTTGATCTTGTCTATTTCTATCCATTTAGAGTGTAGATCCTATTTATTCTGCTTACATGGATGTCTTTGATACTGATAACACTACACAAATCTGTCTTAAAACATGTTTACACTCAATATAATGAATTACCTGACTCACAAGGGACATCCAGCAGGACACTGGACTTCAAAGTATGCATTTTCCATGCTCATCATTTTATTGTCATATTTCATAGATTACAACCATAATCATGGCCATTGGCCACACACATCCACAGCATTAATTGACCATATTTTGAAAACAATGTTCAATATACCAGTTTTAGAGGGTACAATTTCATATGACATTACTGATAATTTCTCTAATTTTAGTTTTCATACATAAACAACATTAAGACTAAAAGGCCTAAAAGTATCACATACGAGGTGGTAAATGACAGTTCTACAAATGATTTCATCAACAGCCTGGAAGGAAAAAATTTTAATTTAATATTTATATCACATAATACAGAAAAAGCCTATAACAAATATCTGGATAAATATACAACTGAAAATAAACATCCATTTGCCCTTAAAAATAAAAAAAATTCAAAAAATACAATCATAAAATTAATCCATGGCTATTACTAATTAAAGGTAACTTAATCTCCATATGGACAATGATAGACTATATTAAATATTATCTGATTTTGTGTTGGAAATGAACATAGAAAATGAGTATTATCAGCTGTATGTGACATATATATATATATCTAAAATAAAGTACCACAACCTGCAAAATTACTCTGCTGACAAAAGATTTACCATCTAAAAGGTCACATGAAGGAAATGAGGGAAATGTAAATTGCAGTCCGAATTAAACCAGTTCCTGTATTAGATGGTGAATACCTGTCCCACTTAGAGAATTAATGCAGTGATATGTAAATTAACATTTTCACCAGTGGAAAACTATGTATAATAAGCCTCATCTACTTTTATTCAGGTTATGGCCTGGAATAATCCAATTTCTATAATATGTTATGTTTTTAAAAGTCTGTAAAATAATTAAGGCATACTCAAGCAAATACTAAATAGACTGAAATGGAGAAAAAGCAAATTTATGAATGTAGGAGTGACATAAGATGATATATATTCCAGAAGTTATGTGCATTGTTTCTTTTATAAATTTCTAAATTATGGAACATCAAAATTCTTTTTAGTCCAAAGATATCCTGATTAGGTGGAACAACACATCCCTTGTTGTCCTTAAATTTTATGTTAGTATCTCTTACAACAAGCAGAAAAGTAATCATTAATATCAGTTCTGATCCCCAAATACTCATCACCTTTTTTAAACTCCTGTAAAGTTGCAGTCATTACTGTCCTCTAAACTGTAGATAGCAATTTGTTCCACTGTAAATTTGACTGACCTTTTTCAAACCTTAACTGTATAATACCTTGTTCTTCTGCTCTTAAAATTCAACATGAAAAAATTGATGCACCATTCTTATGAGTCCTATAAATAATCTCTAATTCTTGAATTGGATCATTTTTGGCTCTTCTATCTTCAAAAGAGAAAAAGTTAATATAACTTGTATCTTTTTTTTGTACTTACTAGTGAGAATAGTTCTACCAAGTTTAAACTTTGGCAGGTAGGAGCTATCTTCAGCTAAGACAGCTTTATTTTTATAACAGGGTGGTTGGCCTTTGGAATGGATTATCTTCAGGCGTGGTGGATGGAGTTAATTTAAGGGAGTTTAAGGCATGGCTTGATAAATATTTGAATAATAAGGACTGGCTTTGAGTGTTTTATTTTTTATTTTAAAGTTTAGTGGAGGGGATGATCTGGATGGACCATTAGATTACTTGTTGTCCTTATATTGTGTGTTATATATGTTAAGACTTCATTTAGATAAAACATGTCTATTTTCTGCTCACAAGTGTGAGTAATTCTTTTTGAATTCTCTTATTGTATCATTTTTTACTCTATTCTTCCAAAAAATATGTACTTTAGTAATAGAAACTTTAAGTTGAACTGTATTTGAATATAACTGGTTGTCAAACTTCATTATTTGTGTAAGTTTGTTTTCTTACACAAAAAATTATGCTGGATGTCTGTTTATTATTTATAAAATGTCTGTATTAATTGGTAGTTTTTAATTCTTGGTATTAACTACTTTTCTCACAGGTTCACAAAGCTGAAAACCTCATAAAACCAGAAACTTACAGAAAGTGGAAATGTGCATCACCTGGTGAAAACCAAGCTTCTGTTGTGGTTCAGTTTGAGAAAGCTAGTGAAATTTGTTCTATTGACATTGGAAATGAAGGTTCAGCTTTTGTAGAAATCTTAGTACAACGGTCATCTGATCCTTCCCAAGAATTTCAGGTGTCATTTTTTTCATGAGAAGTTTCTGACTTTCAAGTACTTGGTATAATTTAATAATTGGTACTTGTACATACAGTTGTTTGTCATATAAAGTATCTTTCAAAGTACAAAATAACTGATTTATTAACAGACTTGTGATGCCAAGAAGAAAGTAGTGTTGAAACCATTTTGCACCAAAAGGAGCATGAGCTGTTTGAAGAAATTAATTTTAGTTTAGATCTGTAAGCTATGTACAGTTCTTATATGATACCGTACTTCTTCAGTAACTTTAAACTATATTTTCTATTCATGCTGAGAATAAGACTTATTTTAAAATTCCTCTTTTTTTCTTCATCTCCCTTCATTTACTGTTCATTGTATGCACTCTCTAAATTTATGTAAAATTCATTGTCTGAGAACATGATATGTGCAGCTTTATATTAATTGAAGATGATTGACTTGCAAATTCTTTGAATAAACATCTTGAGATGTGATTGCACATGTAATTTTCTCACACTGTTAGTCAGCAGTCATTAATTGTTTAATTTTATTCTCAACACTTTTTTAATTTGGAGTTGTGTGAGTATGAATATTATCTGATACCATTTACAATTTTGCATGTTTTTTTTTATATTTTACTTTTAATCAGTAAATCTTTGACATTTTTTGTATCACCACTCTGGCATAAAAAGATATTGCAACAAAATTGTTTGCCTACAGATTATCATTTGAGTGTAGTGCTAACACTGTTATCTGTATATAATTAATTGTTTTTTATTATAGTGTATTATTATAGACAATTCAGCATTTTATATTCCACTAAAACAAGAGAAACAGGCAGCCTTTATGTATCTGCTTATTTCCTATCCATTGGGCTTATAACATTAACATGCAGTTTGCTTATTATACACTGGCAAAGTTTTGGTGACTTTCTACATTTTTAGGCATATCTGCATCATGCAATTTTAAGTTTTGAGAACCAGTTGAGTTTTATTTCTTTGTTATTGTTGGCTTCAGGATATTTTTTTTTCAAGTTCAAAGCAACATGGTTTAATGTCCATCAAGAACTATGAATTTTGTTTATGCCTGATGCAGTGGTTTTCCAAAATTTTTACAGAAGAAGCCCAAATGGTGAGGGTGGCTGTTTAGGTTGAGGGGATCTTGGCCACAAATGATTTTAAGTAATTTTGAGGGGTTAGGGAAGCTTCTTCTGGCCTCTTTTATTCTGTATTGAAATATTAGATATTACAAAATAAAATGAATTTAACTAAAAAAAGTAATTAATATGATCATAATCAAGTCTAAACTTTTAGTAAAAGTTAAGGTAGAAGCTGTGAGTGATTATCTATAACATAAACTATTTATTTATGATGTTTTACAGGCTACTTTGAAAACATACTTACCTCCGCTGACACCATAGCTATTTCTCGATCTCTAGGGTTCCCATTCTTTGCCCATCTAAGCATTGAAAATGCTTGCTCCAGTCTTTTATACCCCACTCGAATGCCCTTAGCAAATTCTAATTTGCAAATTTCTCCACCAACTTCAATGCACCCTCTATCTAGGTACTGTATATAAGCATCTCATTCAGATAATATAATCACTTTTTCTTGACAGAGCATTTGGCATGGATTTCTATAAATAGGAGTGTTGTGATTATTCACAGTTTATGTTCTGATTTTGAACGTGGTTTGCATTACTATGGTTATATCTTTACTTATATTTATAAATTACTTTAATATTAATAGTAATAAAAATAATAAAAAAACAAAAAACATGTACCTACGGATATGAATTCCTGAGTTAATGTTTCTATTATGGAGGCCATTCAGACCTCTCCTCTTCCACCTCTGTTATTTGGTATTTGTCAATGACCAAGGGAGGGGTCACTCTCAGTTGAGGCTGTCTGTTATATGATCAATGGTGAGATGGACACATATATGCAGACCGAGGGTGTCTGTCCTGGGCATCTGAGGCGGCTTTTGCAAATGACCCAGATTAGCTGGGGAGAATTTAGACTCAGTTTTTTCTGGCTCCTTCTTTTACTAGGTCAGCCTCAACAGAGGATCATTTTGATCACCCACCTCCAGCCCCTTTTTCTTCAGTTGGTTGCTCGGGTTTTGTGATTCTCTCCTGTTGCATTTGGCTCTCCATCTTCCTTGTTGGCAGCAAGGACAGCAAGTGACTAATTGGTTTTTCTTCTTCTACTGACGTTCATGCTGGGGGATTTGCCGCTCAGTTACATGATGGGATAGCTATGACTGGTCCCCCACGTTTATCAGAACAGCATGTTTTGGCTTATTACCACTAGGAGGAGGAGGTATATTTAGATTCTCAACTACTGGACCTGTGGGGGTCTTGATTGAAACCTGTGATCACTTTGAACAGATCACAATTTTCTTGGATGTGTCTTACTCTCATGACTGTCCTGAGGTATTTATCTTTGATCCAACTTTTGTTGGAAGCCTATTAATGTTCCCCTCAGCAATTTGAGGATGAGTTGGGGATTTTGCTGACATCTACGTCAGTCAGATTGTCTTCTTCATTTCTTTCTCTGGTTTCCTGGCTGATTTGTTGTTGAGATTTATTGGGTAGCGATTTTTTGTTAAAAAGTGTTTATTTACTGTCTTCTGCCCTCAGGGAGTTACGGGAAACTCATTTTCTCTGTCTCAGGTTGTTTGCTAGGGTTCCAAAGATGTTAGAATCATGATTTGATTCAGTTTGTTTACATTCTTCTTTATCGTCGTTGAATTTTCGCCTTTCTGGCGCTTATTTGGGATTGTTAGCTCTTGGTTTTTCCTGAACCCCTCCTTTGGTTCCCAGGTCTATTGGTTCCCATAATTGAGTCTATTCGTATTCTTGAGGATTTTCGACTTGGATGTACCATTGACAACAGCATTGGTGTTTATTCCCATTTATTTGTTGTACTCAAGGCATCAAATCATTGATCTGTCTCGACTCAACCAGTTTTATATCCTCCTTGATTTACTATGGAATCCTTTCTCAACCTACGATGACACTTTGCACCAGGGCTCTGGATGACCAAGTTCAATGTTACCAATGCTTATCTCCATATTCCCATAGGGGAATCTTCCTGGAGGTTTCTCATATTTATGCACAAGGGTCAGATTCTGCAGTTCAGGGCTATACCTTTTGGTCTTGCATCTGCACCTTATGTCTTCTGCAGAGTTATTTGAGCTTTTTCTCCTCATCTACATTCCTTAGACTTGTACACACATGATTATATGGATGACTAAATTCTTATGACACCATCCTGTTAAGTAACAGAACAACATTTTCAGATTCTCCTTTCAGAAGCCACAAAAGTGGGCTTCCTTATCAGACTGGAGAAATCTATTCTGTTACTAATACGGTATCTTGTCCATATGGGTGTGTTTTTCAATACTCTTAAGTCATGCTCTACCAACCCCTATCAGGCTTCAAACCATGGAAAATGCAATGAGGCTTTTACTTATGTCTCCTTATCCTACTACATGGATGGTTCTCTCTCTATTGGAGATGTGGGCATCCCTCGATCCTCTCATTACTTTGGGACGAGCTAATATGAGGTCCCTTCAGTGATTACTGCATGATCAATGAATCATGCTTTCCGATTCTCTGGATCACCCTGTCTCATTACTCAGGAGCAACATTGTCGATTTTGAATGGTGGTTATATCAAAACAACACTACTATTGGGATGCACCCATTCCATCACCTTGTCCTGAGATCCATCTGTTCCTGTTCACAGATGCATCTCTTCAGGGATGGGTACTTGGAAGGGAGTCGAGTCTTCCCTCCATATCAACGTTCTTGAACTCCTTGCAGTACACTGGGCAATAGTTCAAGGTCTGTCTCTCTTGAAGGGAAAAATTGTCATGTTACATTCCAACAATTCTACATGGTATCTCAGATTTCTTGTCAAGGAGGCACACATTCTCGAAACCTTGTTTTCGTACCATGGATCTTCTCTACTGGGCTCATTCCTATCGTATCAGTCTTTTAGCATGTCATATTCCAGGAGTGATGAATTTAATTGCAGATGACTTATCTCAATCCAACCAGATTCTTCCGACAGAATGGATGGTTCAAGAAGTCTTGATAGAAATGAATATAAACTCTATAACCCGAGCACTTTCAAAAGGTAGACCTTTCTTCTTCAGGGGAAAACTGGGAATGGTGGTGTAATCTAATGAGTGATATATTTAAAGGGAGTTTAGTGACATTTAAAGTGTAGCTGATGGCGAGAGTGTATGTGAAAAGGTGTTAGGGATATTTTACTTTAGAAATGGATAAATATATGTATATTTAAAACTATATGTAAGTGTTTAAGTAAAATAAAGGTGACACTTGGAGACTGATTCGAAAAGATATGTTATGCTAATGAATTTATAAAAACAGGTATGGAAAATTATCTTAAATAAATAGTAAGTTTTAAGAAATTCAGCATTCACATTACATGAAAAAATAAGCAAAGAATAAAAATTATTTTTCTAACTGAGATGAAACCGTGATCACTGATTCCAGGATCTCGATGAATTCAGAAAGGTTGAATAGTGTTTAGAGTAGCAATCCAATAAGCTTCTTTTATTTCTCTATCTGCTTTAGTTTTCAATCCTGTTTCAATGCTGATGAGAGTAACATCGTTAATGGAATGACCTGGTTGGTTAATATGTTAAGCAACAGGGAGATCATTTTTGGTGTTAATAGAAGATTTATGGTTGTTGAAACGTTCTCTAAGACTTGTTTGTGTATGTCCTACATATTGGTGATTGCATTTTTTACAATGTATAAGGTAAATGGTGTTTTTTGTTTCACAAGTGATTTTTTTGGATATTTTAAAGTTTCTTTGATTGTGTTTGTCAGAAAATGAGTCAGTGGTTATGAACTTGCAGGTTTGTCAATGGTCTTTATTACATAGACGACAAACATTTTTGGGTGGGATGTAATTCACTGTGAACAAGGATATATTTTAGAATTCTGCTTTTTCGGAAGGAGACAACAGGAACTTCAGGAAATATCTGTTTAAGGCACTCATTCAGTTGTAGGATATGAAAATGTTTTTTCAGAATTCGTGAAATGTCTCTGAGTTTAAACTGAGAGGTAATAAGAGAAATTCTATTTGAAAGTTTAGTTTTCAGTTTTGGAAAATGTTAACTCTAATTTATACTCCTAACTCACAAATAACAAGAAAAAAATCATTTACAAACTCACTATTTTGTTGAAACACAAGATCACAATTTTCTGACATACTAATGCAAATAGACTTGACTTGACTAGAAACTGTCTAAACTGCAAACACACTCTGATGCTGACTATTTCAATTAAATGTCCAACAGTCTTAATGTGCTGATATGTGTGTATTGTTGTGGTCCCATCTACAACTTTTCTTAATCTTTGAAACTTTACATGCTTATTATATCGCAGTCATTGATTCGAGAACTATCTGTAGCCACCAATACAAGTCTCCGAATATTTAAAAGTATAGTTAGCAATAATGTTTTAATGAATGTTTGCTGAAATTATGGCTTTTGTTTAAGTTGAAAAATTCAAATTAAGCAAATATTAAGTTTCAGCAAGTTTCTACAAACATATTAATTTGAAAGCTAAAGATATGACTTTCTTTTTGTTCAAATGTTTATCTCACCTTTGGTATTCAAGTATTTTGGCTTACAATACAGGTGATTTTCCATCTCTTTGAAAATTTTAAGTGCTTAATTTTCCTGTAAAATAACACTGCTAATTCAGAAATATAGAAATAAAAATAATAAATAGAAATAAAAACTCATTGCACTAATCATTTTAAACTTGCCAATTTCTTTCACCTTTTATGTAATGCTGTATTTCACTAAAAATTAAACCTTGTAATGTCAAAATCCTCAATCCCTGGAGCAAATGTTTTTATTTTAATATATTAAAGACATATATCTACCATAAACATCAATCCTTTGAGCAAAAAAGTTCAAGTACAGTAGATTTAATGACAGTTTTCTTTACACAAACCTTTCCAGCACTTTAGAATTCAGTCAAAATAAACCAGTATTATCTTTGCTTTACATTTTGAGACCATAATGTGTTTCAGTGCAAGTCAAACAGACGCTTTCAATAATAATCACTGTTGCATTCATACTTCTACATTATTAAAGTCATTGACAAATAGATGTTTGAGTTTAAAAAATTTTGATTGGCATATACAACAATAAGTTGCATTTATTTCTGTAATATTAACAATGATTTTATGAATGGAATAAATGCACTGTTACAAATTACTTTACACATACAAATACAAAAGAAATATTAATGGGTACAATTTAGGATGGCAGCTGGTTTTTAAGAAAAACACTGGTTTGATGTAAAACAGTTACACATCTACAGTGTTTTGTTTTTCTTCTAGTAAATAACTCAAAATGTCCTAGAAATTATTATTATTAAACATTATGAGATATTATATAAAGTACTTACCCAATAATTATTTATATGAAATATATAAACAAAGTTATATTATAATTATAGAAGTTCATACCAGAATTATAAAAAATGCTGCTAATTCACTTTCCCACTAAGACACCCACAGAAAAAGAAATTTAATGTGTTTAGCATTTTATTGATTAGAAACATTCAATATAGTGTAAACGTATACTAGTAATCAACTCATTTTTCATAAAGTAACTTAATGATAAAGCAAAACACCAACGTAATAATAGGAAGCATTTACTAAACATTTTGGAATCTTCAGAATTCCATCATCAGTAATCTAGAGGTACAAGAATATAACAAGAGAAGATTTATTTTAATTTAACTATTTCATTTGTGCTACATTTTTTCATTTTCACTTGTTTGTACATTCAAATTTTTTACTTATTATGTATATCATATGTCTGTTGTAAATACAAATATTATTTGTTTGTCTTGTACTTCTAGATTACTGATGATGGAATTTTGAAGATTCCATAACGTTAAATAAATGCTTCCATTTATTATGTTCGTGTTTTGCTTTATCGATAGTAAATGTATATACTTTTACTTTTTTTTTTACAAGAGTGTAGTAACAATTAAATTTATGTAACTGCAATATAAAAAGTGCTTCTGATTCAGTTTTACCATGTGTGTATTCTAAAGCTTCACTTCACTTTAGAATTAATAGTTATTTTTCTATGATACTTGTACTAGGTTTTACTTGTTGCTTCTTCGTTCATGACTCCATTAGAAAGTCGTCAGGGGACAAATCTTAATCGTGTTAGAATGTTTGGACCAGAAAAACTGTCACTGTGTACTTCCAACCAGAAGTGGGACATAGCAAAAATTGTTTGCACTCAACCTTTCAACAAGGTAAAAGAGAAGTTTATCTCAAGCTTGTGTTGTTGAGCAGCTTGTTGTGTAAGATTTCTAATATTTCAACAGTGTGCTTTTTAATACAAGTATATGTTAATTTAGTCTGGAATTTGCATGTACATATTTGTAGGTCTAGTTGCATTACAAGGGCCTTGTGTGGCCTGATAGTTAGCACACCAGACTGTGGATCTGAAGTTCCAACCTTTTACCATCAAAAAATGAAACAAAAACTTTTTCCTCTACACTTTTTGGCTGTGGATGTGTTATAATAAGACTAACATTCAAATCCTACTATTTTTTCTGGTAAGAGTAGCTGAGAGTTGGCCATCTTTCGTGTTGATTAGCTGCTTTCCCTCTAGTCTATCACTTCAAAATTAGGGACAGCTAGTGCAAATGGTTTTTGAGTAACTGTGCATGAAATTCAACAAACAAAGACATACAAATATTTGCTTAACATAATAAATACTAGAACTTTATTTGTGCTTTAAGTCTTTGAATTTAGAAACTAAAGATGCTTAATATAAGTAAAAGAAATGCTGGTCCAACAGGTGGTAAATGCTTACCATGCACTAAAAATGAGCTGATGTAGCAACTTAGAAAGCAATTATTGATCAGGGCCAAGTGTGACATAGCCAAGTTGACTGTAGTATGATCTGATGTATATATTGTATAGGGTGCATAATGGTGGGATCCCTTTCAAAGATATCTGTTTTGATGATGGAGCCTGTACTTATTATTATTTAGTATCTTTAAATACTCTTGTACATAGTTTGCAAAGTTTAATATTGATATTGTGAATAATTGCTTTCAATTTAAGGTATACAAGGTACAACAAATGTATAAAAAGATGTATGATATTTTCATTTTCTTTACTGTTGAACATTAGAATAGGGAAATGAATATTCAAATAGCAAAATCCACTATTCATTTTAACTCTACATGTAATCCAATGTTTTTTGCTTTTTACCACAGTGTATCATGATTTTCTGAACATAATTCATTACATTATTATTTAACTATTTTCTGTCACTTTTTTTCTTTTTCCTTTTACCCAGAAAAAAAGATATATGAAAGTGTTACTGATGTCTCTTATGATTAATATATATATATATGTTTTAGAACACTCAGTTTGGAATTTCCTTTATCAAATTTCACTCACCACCTGATTTAGCAACAACATCAGAAGATGAAGTGTCTGGGGAATTGCAAATACAGGTCAGAAATTTTTCCGTAAAGGAAATATGTGTAGTCTGTTTTATTGTATACTTCTTTATGGATATTATATCATAGAAATACAACTATTTTGTTTATTGTTTTTCTTTTCTGAAAACACCTGTTCCTGCTGCATATAAACTTTGCTACTGTAATGGTTGTACTCTTATACAACTACACCTTTGAGAAAATCAGCTTTTATTTCCTGCAGCTTTTTACAAAAATATGCTATGAAATGAAAGTGGGCTACTTGTTAAATGAAATCATATATTATAATAATACTTAGTTTTTGTTTGTCCTGAAACTGAAAATGCATGTGCTCCTCACTATCTAAATGTACATGGGTGTGCACTTCATTTCAACAGATGTAAACAGAAGGATTATACTTTTAACAGACATTTTGTACAACAGCAATATTATAAAAGCCTCAAAGATTTTAAAAATATCTAATGCTAGTCGAAAAATAACATTATAAGTTTATTTATTGATAATCGTAAGTTTGGTAAAGTTTAGCCTTAACTAAACAAAACAAAAAAAAAAACATACACAAGTTACTTTGTTAATTTATTTCTTTATTAAATATAGGCCATACTTAATAAAGAGGTTTAGCAAATGTTAGCCCTAAGACAAGTGGACTTGTAGATTTCAGTGTTTGTGATTAGAACTGTTTTGTATTATTCTAGAAATTCTGTTTTTAAAGAAGTACTATTTTAATAAAGATACTAATGACTGCAAATGTTTTGCAGGACTCTGCTAGTTACAAATTATTATACAAAAACTTAAAAAATCAAACTTTTTTTATTTATTTCAAAATTTGCAAAATCAATTTTATTTTTAGAAAAATTTTTTATATTCATAGGCCTTTTTTGGCAGCTAAAATTTTCATGAATGGTGTATACTACATTTTGCATCTAAGCTCTATATATATTTATTCATGTTCTTTATTGTTTTTAACATTTAGTCATTAGGATTTTACAGTGCAGCATGTAGAATATCCTATGCACAGTCTGGTTTATATTAATGCTGCCAGCAAAAGTGTGCTGAATATTTTAAATAGTTTTTTACTGTAGCCAAATTAAGTCGGATCATCTTGTAACCTTAATCAATACAATGATGTCCATTGATTAATGTGTCCATCACATAGTCTTTTGTGTTTATGCAATGCTCCAACTTCAGTGGTAGAAACAAATTAAGAAAAAATGAAAAATAAATAAAACACTATATATATATATATATATATATATGCATAAATTCTAAAAAATGTACCTCATTCACAATTACATTGTGTAATGGATTTTCTAGAATGTGTGCACATAAAGGCTATAATCATTACCATAATAACCAGATTAGTAAGAAGTTTGCTTGTATAACTTTTTCATGAAGTTAAAACTAATGTAATGTCTTCGTGCTGTATATAGACATTTTTGTTTTTTTACTTTAGGTTTTTTTAAAATCTTTCTTCATGTTGTAACAGAGAACGTACTATGATTAAAAAATAAGTTTCATTAGAAGTTATTAATGAAAGTTATATTTATGCAGGTGACTTAGAATAATATGAGAGAATCTGTTTAAGTTTGTAGTAAAAATGTTATTTGTTGTTTACATTCTCTTTTATTTCACAACAGGCCGTTTAATATAACTTTAAATGTAAATTGCAATGTATCAATCTGAAACAAATTTGCATAATTATTTCTGTAGTTCAGCTGCATTTTTTTGTGATAATACCTAATCATGCATGCAAGCATAAACAAGTACCCTTTGCTAACCTTTTTTTAACTTCGGTAACTAGAGATAATACAAACAACAGTTGATGAAGGAAATACTGTGATTTGGTTTACCTTGATTTTCAGAAAGCATTTGATAAGGTGCATCACAAAAGACTTGTTACAAAAATGAAATCTATGGGTGTGGGGGGAAATGTTATTAAATTGGATAGAAAATTGGCTGTAGAATAGAAAGCAGAGAGTAATAATAAATGGAGCTGACTGAATCACAGTTACAAGCAGTGTGCTTCAGTGCTCTGTGCTGGATCTTCTGCTCTTTGTGATTTATATTAATGATATTGACTCTAGAATTAGTAACAAAATACTGAAGTTTGCAAATGACATTAAGATTTTTGGGGTGGCTAACTGTATCAAAAATGCTGCAGACTGACAGGGAGATTTAGATCATTTGATGCATTGGGCCAATACTTGGCAGGTGATGTTTAACTATCCAAAATGTAAGGTGATGCATGTAGGTTTTTACAATTCAACCTATTGTTATGATTTAAAAGGGAATACATTAAATACCGTGGTTGAAGAAAAAGATCTTGTTGTGATTGAAAAATCACTTAAGTCACCTAAACAGTGTATTATAGCTAGCAATATGGCTAATAGAATTTTAGGTAGCATCTATAGAAATGATGAATACAAGACAAGGGATATTATTGTTTCGCTGTACAGATTGCTTGTAAGGCCTCATTAACAGTACTGTGTACAGTTTTGGGCCCACTTCCTCAATAAGGACATTGAATTGTTGGAGAAGGTTCAAAGAAGAGCCAGTAGGATGATACCTGGGATGGTGGAATTGTCCTATGAGGAGAGACTAACATCTCTAAACTTGTTTTCTATGGAGAGAAGAAAGGTCAGAGGGGATTTGATTGAGGTGTTTAAGATTATTAAAAAAAAGTTATTAAGGGTATTGATAATATAGATCCATCAAACCTTTTTTTGTGTTTAGCAGTGAAAACAATTGGACAATGGGTCATAAATTCAAATTTTGACAGCATAGGAGTCATCTGAAGTTTCTGTTTTGCTCCCCCTCTATCCACTTTGCAGATCTCCTTCCCTCTGCCTTGGGATCATACTTCATCTAGTTGTGTTGCTGAGTCTGCTTGAGACCTACTACACAAAGGAGTTATCGAGTGTGTGGTGCCCACTAAACTGGGATTTTATTCCCATCTGTTTGTTGTCTCCAACAACACAGGAGGTTGGAGTCCAATCATAGCTCTTTTCCAACTGTATTCTTATTTGGATACACCTCTCTTCACTCTGGAGTCATACTTCTCACTTTGGTGGTTTTTTTTGCCCCAGTGTCACATCATTTATCTTTGGTTGTTCTTCAGCTCCATATGTGTTTTGTTGAGTGGTATGCTCTTTTGCACATCATCTTACTCCCTGTTACATTGACTACTGGCTTCTGCTCGCCTCTTCCCATGCCCAGTCAGTCACTCACACCTAATTACTTTTTTGAGAAGATGTTTGGGTGGGGTTTCTAATCAAGTTGGAGAAGTTCTTTACTACCCCTTGCAGTATCTTAATCATTTGAGGGTTCTCTTCACATCCCATCTCATTCGAGTCCAGCCTTCTCCACTTTATCTCTGGGATGTGGAGCGGGTAGTCACGAAGGCCCTACTTTCTCCTTCTCTCTCTGCACCAGAGGTTTTATCTCTTTTGGGGTTGTTGGATTCCTTGGAAGCTTTCACACCCATAGGTCAGGTGCACATGCATTCCCTTCATTGGATGCTTCTCACCCAGTGGAACTTCCCCCAAGATCCCTTGGACTGTCCCATCGCCCTTCCACCTGGGATCAGGGCCAGTCTTGCTTGGTGGCTTGGTTCCCATTCCTCTGCCTCATATCGAGTCTCATATTTTTACAGATGCTTCTTTGGTGGGATTTTGAGTTGGTAGGCAGTCGAGGAGGCTATTCTCCATTTTCTCACATTCCTGTTGGGGTGTGTGTGTGTTTATGGTTCATCCTGACAATTCCACTGTCATAATCTCTATCACCAAGCAAGGGGGAACCAAGTTCAGATCACTGTGTTTTCAGACTCTGGTTTTCCTGTACTAGACCACTGACCACAACATGACTATTCTGGTGTGTCATGTTCATGGAGTTATGAATCTTGTGGCAGATTGCTTATCAAGTCCCAACCAGGTTCTCCCCACAGAGTGATCCCTTTATCCTCAGTTTTTTCTGTAGATGTGTTCAACTGGGAACTCCACATATTTATGCATTTCCCACTCTCTGGAATGCCAAACTTCCTTCCTTTTTGATCTCCTCTTTCTTACCCCTCTGCTTTGGAGTTGGATGCTTTCAGTCCAGATTGGAGGGGTCTTCACTTATATGCCTACCCTCCAGTCAGACTCCTCTCATGGCCCTTTTCCCTTATCTAGATCCCTCCTTGTTGTTTTCTGCTGGCTGCTCTGTATTGGCTGGCTCAGACAAGGCTCCCTCTACTTTGGCCTATACTGGAGCTATAGCCCTGTCTTTATCTCTGTCCTGATCGCTCCTTTAACAACCGAGATCATAGGTTTTTCATCCTAACGTCACCACACTCCAGCTTCACGTGTGACTTTTGTCCGATCCTGTGCTTCAACTCTGGGACTCACCCCTTATGTAATGACTTTCTTTGCCTCTACCTTGTCTATGTACCAGAGGCTTTGGGCTTACTTCAGACTTTGGTCTATTGGCCATGGCTTCCAACCATCATGTCCTTCTGTTCCTTACCTGTCCCAGTTTTTCATATGGTTGTTTGTTCAGGGTCTGTTTGTTTCAACTGTTGCTCTTTTTAGGGTTGCCCTATCAAACACCTTCCTTTCTGCCACTTCTGGAATGCCTTTCCTTCCCCGGTTATTTCCCTTCCTTTTTACAGTACTTTTGTCTGGTCCATTCTCCACATTCCTTTGTTGTACCAGTTTGGGATCTCAGTATTCTTCTTAATGTGCTGTCTGGTTCTCGCTTTGAACCCTTTGCAATGTGTTCCTTGTACCATATTTATCTTAAGTCCTACTTCCTCCCCCCCTCCTGAAATACAGTCGTTGTCCTTCTGATATTTATGCCATTAACATTTTCTGTGTCTTTTACCGTTCTTCGTATGTTATCTGCTATCTGGATTGGGCTTTCCTTCCCAGGACATCAGCTGCCTGAGAAGGCATCGTCGATCTGGATCGTCTACTTTGTCCAGTTCATTACCTGTTATGTTATATGGCTTGTACTGCATCCTTTCATGGTTCTCATTCCTGTCTCTTTGTTCCATGGAATTATTTTGTTTCCCATGATCTTCTCACCCATTATGCTCACTGGTTGGGCTCGTCAACTCATATGACTTGTGTATTCTGATCTATCCATGGACGGTCGCCGTCTACTTCATGTTTTTTCACACAAAGTTTGTCATCTAACTATGTTTATAGCTGCTCGCAACCTCTGTCTTTTGGAGGAGATCATTCAGGCTGGTATGTGGACAACTCCCAATACATTTAATGTTCTTTATCTGCACAGCATAGCTGTGTCTTCCTCAAGCAGGTATCGTTTTCCTCCCTGTGGTGATTCTACACAAGTTTGTTCTTCTTTGCCTGGGGTAAGTTGACATATTATTCTTTTTTTTTTTTTTACTATTAATTCGTTGATGTACATCTTATTTCAGGATACCACCTGGTGGCGGGTGTTGCCTGGTCAGTTATCCTGAGTATTATATCTTGGCACTAAATCTGTATACTGCCATAATGCTCACTGTGGAGATGGGGGTGTTAGTGTAAGACCATCGTCCACTTATCTGGGTGTCTGTATATATCTATATCTTTTTATTTCTTATCACTGTATCATATATAAAGGACCATCACTCATGGACTTCATGAGTAAAGCAGATGAGGATTTTTGTCCATCTCTACTGACCCATGATTCTTACAGTCGGGGTCTTACTACTTTTCAAAATAGAGAATTTCAGACACATATTTGCACTGTTTCCAGTGTGTTGTTCTTCTGGACTTCTTAACGCGTATCCCCCCTTTTCTTCTAGTTAAGTACAGGAGTCCTTGCCGCTTCTGGTTTCCCAGTTGCTGGAGTGGCGGACCGTGGAAATTTCCTCTGGAGTGGGATTAAACTTCATAGTCATATGTGTTTCCCCCAGATGTTTTGCTCAGGCTGACCACACTTGGCTATTTTAATATGAATCCAAGGAGCTTCCCCTGGATGTTTTTTGCCAGGATGGACCACACTTGTTGATCTTACAATCTTGTGTGAGGGGCTTCCACTTTTGTTTTTGACAGGATGGACCACACTTGGCATAATCTGATGTATCCCAATGCACTTCTCCCGGATGTTTTTTGCCTGGGCAGACTGCACTTGGCCTATTCATATACATTTATTGTTCTCTAGCTTTAGTCACATTTTCTGATATTTGACTCCAGGCAATTTCTTAAAATCCGACTATAATTGTGTCACGTGCTCACGTTTGTTACATATGTGGACATCTTATGTACTGTCTGTTGTCCATGGGCAGAATCTGTATAACATGATATGGTGCTTGTCTATTAAGTTCCACCCTACTTTGTCTTACTTTGTTACTGGGCGAAGAGCATACCTGTTCCAGAAGTTGTGCTATACCCCACAGGTATGCCTTCTTTTATTATTGTGGCACACCTATTTTTTCACAGCAGTTGTTCTCCACTTGTTTGGTTACTTTTGCTCCTTCACTGGCCCCTCAACCTTTGCAATGTGGAATTCTGGCTTTGGGTGAGAGGAGGTAGTACCATTTTGGAAGTTAACATTTTCTAACACTGAAAATGTATTTCTGATAGATACTTATCTCCTCTCACCCACATCCTGCCCTTCCTCCCCACTGTTTTCTGGTGTTTATAGTTTGTATCTGCTATTCTTGAAAGTGAGGATTGTGCTACAATGGTAGAGGGAGCTACCTGAGCTAGTATAGGTGGCGCAGTATGATTATGGAGGGTAGTCACGTGATCAGCACATTTTGTTGCAATGGCATAAAATTGAAGAGGTATAAAAAACTGAGGCACTGTTGAAAATTTGAGAAATAGTTAGAGGGTGAGGAAGATAAGTACCTATTGGAAATACATTTTTAGTATTAGAAAATGTTAATTTCTGATAATTCTATGGTAACAGTATGATGGGAACAATTTCCATTGCTACCCATCCCTACATTAAATAATTATTGTTGATATAAAATAAGAACTACATCTATTTCTCTAACAGTCAAGTTATATTTCACACAATAAAAAAGCCAATCGTACCTTTGTAGATTTTTTTCACTATAATAAAAAACTAAGAGTACAAAATTTTATGTTTGTATATAGCCTAAGAAGATTGGAGCTTTTATGCTTAAACCATCAGAAACAAGTGAAAATGATCTGTCGGTTGGTAGTTGGTTTGCTAAGAGGAAAGAGAAAAAAGAACCTGACCCAGAAACAGGTATGTGTTAATGACAGTTACAACAGGTTTGTTTCTGGCTTGAAAAAGTGTGTTTGCTTGAAATGTCACCAAGTAAATAAATTACAACTATAGTTTTTAAAGGTGATTTTTCTCTAAAAGTATGATTTCTTTATATATTTTTATATATATATATGTGTGTGTGTGAGGCAGGAAAGATTTAGAACTATTTATATGCAGTTAAAGTTAGCCAATTTATTTGATGCAGAGAAAGATGAAAGTTTAGTTTTGTACACCTGCAGCAGTAAAGATGAATTTAGGGTTCTCATTTGCTTGGTAATTAATACTTATTTACCACAACATTACTTTCTTACATCACTTAAAATGTTTTTGAATGTTTTATCTTTGCAGTATTTTTGTATATAATTATATAAAAGATAAAAAAATTTAAAAATAGTTGTCACACTATGAAAATTTATACATTTGGATTTATACATTTGAACCACTACACTGACCACCAGTTATATGAGGATTAAATGATGGTTTAATATTGCATGCATAAAGAAGTTTAAAAAATTTTCTAGGCTCATGAAAAACTGTATATGATTTTCAAGGTTTTTCTTATCAAGAGTAGTAGCCAATGGTTTTATAACTTATTTGTAATTGACATAATGCATACTGGAATGCAGTAGACATAATGTAGATAAAAATGATCTCAAGACTCCAGGAAACATTTTCTTTCATACCCAAAACTATGTCACATTATGTAAAATGCAATACCTCTTCATACTTGTGCAGTTGAACATCTCCAAGGCTCAAATTTTGAGTTTGACCAGCAAAAGTTCTCACATTTTGTGTTGTTGACCAGCAATTTAGAAGGTTGACCATAAATTTTAAAAATTTACAAGTGACCTTGAAGCTCACACTTCATTTTGTGTCTGTTTCTTATGTAGTAACGTTTTCTTTAGATAGAATATGTAACCAAATTACATCTTTAAGTAAAAAAGTAAACAAAATAAAATATTTTCTTCAAAACTTTTGCTATCACATAACTGATCATTCTCTTCCAGTTAGCAGCATCACTTTATTACAACTGACTTACTGTATCAACATGGATAT